GAACACCCTCAAAATGTTGACCGGTCAGCATTTTAAAAAGCTGTTTGAGGAACCAGAGCTCAGGCCTTTTCCAGCTCCATCCCTGCCATTGGCTGAAAGCTCCCCTTGCAACTGACCATTTCCTACATTTTACGGCACCTTTATTGCTGCCTCTGTTGTCCCAGAGGTGTGGAGGTGACACCCTTCAGGGGTTAGCAAATCTAAGTTAGTGCTTTAAAGCTTGAGACTCGAATCACACTCAGATGGTTAGTGCTAAAGAATATTAACACTGACCTGGCAGGACCACTGAGGAGCAAACCCACAGACCTGAAATGCAACAGCAGCGAGTCAGACCGGTGTACCTTGTTAGAGAGGGCTTAAGATTCATTTCCTGCTCTGAAAGGCTGCTGAGAGGTGTCTGTCAGCAGGAAAAGAGTTGAATAGGAATGGTGAAATCATACTGAATGTGAATTGAGACGTGGATCTGAGGGTTTTATGAGAAAGTCCGTGTGAAAGCTGTTTGTCAGACATTGTGCAGACGGATTATTTGAACCGATAATCATCGAGCCGATGATGACTTTGGCCTGTTCTGCTTGATCAGTCATGAATCGGAAATGTGAAGGAGTTTTTCCTCTCGGTGAGTTTTCATAATAAGACCCAGAGGCCAAATCTCAGCCTAACTGGAGTCATTTTCAGAATAAAGTAGTTTAAGATGTCCCTCAGACTGCAGTTTTCACAAAATGTCTGTCGCCTTCCCTCTCAGTAGAACCCTGGGTCCACCATTCGCAGTTATTGTGACTTTTGGAAACAGTTTGACAAGTACAGCCACTTCAGAGGCCTCTTCTGTGTTTAATCCTGGAGAGCTATTTGCACGGGCTTGTATATTTTGTTGTATATTTACACTTTATGCCTATTTCACTTCAGGAATGGCCTCCATGCTCGGTTTGAGTTGGCCTTTTATGACAAACTGCCCTGAAGCATGTGGAGACATGTTACTGTCCTAGTGTTTTCAATTCAACAACTACAGGGACATCTTTTTTACACCCATTTTAAAAGGCCGGGCTTTTTCCCTCCTGGGGATGAAAGAGTACTTATCTGAAAGACTCCAGAGCACCGGTTTGCTGGAATGAGCGTGTTAGCATCTTAGTAAACTTTCCCCCTACTTGTGTTCCAAAAGGTAGATAAATGATACAGCCAAAATATATTAGTGCGCTGACTGTGTGCAAGCCTGTGTGCATGCAGCCGGTCTGTAGTTTAGACTGGGTGTTGGATTTCAGGTGCAGAAAAGGCCACGAGATCTTGTCTGAACTGCCGGTCCGATGCGTTTGCCAAGGAAAAAAAACTCAGAAATTCCATCAAGGAACTTAATCAAAAGCATTCTGTTCAAATGTTTTCGTACTTCACTGAATTTAGGATTAGATTGTAATTTTTGGACCTTTAATGTTCTTTTGATTTCGTTGTGGACATTAACCACGAGTAGGTCAAAGAATTTGGGGGGAGAAAAACTTGAAGCTTGGTCAGTTCATTTTCTTTTCATTTCAAATGAGCTTTGTTGCTGTTAAAGTCAGGAATAAGTCTGATAGTGAGGTTGAATACAGAGTCTTCTCATTTTTTCTCCCAATTTAAAGACGTGCCATCTACATGTGAATCCTGTGTGTTTGTGCAAATGAACAAAATGCTGGGGTTAAAGGTCACTGCATAAACTCTCCATTAGTAATTTCCTGCTCACCAGCCATGGACATCTGAATGAGACGAGGTCACCGTCCATTCAGCAGATGTGTCCAGTAGGTTTTCAGAGTTCTGATGCATTTGCCTTATAATGACAACCCCCCCCAAAAAAAGATCTATTTGCAAAACAATTTACAAGTTGAAAAATCCTCCAAAAAGTGTTTTTTTTGTGCTTATCATAAATCAACGTGACAGTAGATCGAAGCCCAAAAAAATGGTCTGAAAAGGAAAAGATGTAACGTTAAAAGCAGCTCATCATTTTAGCCAAAAAAAAAAAAAAAACTCTTCATAAAACAAATGAAACTCCTACAAAAAGGCTCGGTTTTGGCACCACGCATCCTTTTGTTTCCTTTTAAGAGGAAGCAAAAGGTCAACTGTCCTCTTGTATTTTGTAGACGAGGCCTGGAGCTGAAGGCCCAGCCTGAAAGGCAGATTTTTGCCTTTTGTGTGCGAAAAAGACACTTATCGAGATCATGTCCTCTATTCACGCAGGGCCATTCCTCACCCACTCATTGCCTGTTTTCATTATCTGAATTAAGTGCTTGTCTGTCACAAAAGTAGGGGCTTTCCTCTTCATACATGTGTCTGAATACGATTGAAAGAGTTTCAAAATTCCCTCAGGAAACTAAGAATATCTTTGTGAGGGCTCAACATTGAGCTGTTTTTTGCTCCGAAATGCCAAGTCCCCCTGGAAAACAAAAAGAGCTTTTCTGAAAGGTTCACCCTCAGACCGGACAGGCTGCCGCTGCCTCTTAACTCAATTTCAAAAATGGTTTTGTATGCCAGGAAAGAAGATCACGTTGGCAACGTGCATAAGAAGGCCCATTTTTAAGCATGCAGGGAATCTTTCTCCAAAGCTAATTAGCCAGCGGCCTCATTCCTCATTTCTAACAGGTAATCTGGCACGGGACAAACAGCTCTTTGGCCCTCTCTGCGTGTCGACTTGGTGGGGTTGTCGGAGAAGAGGGCATCTTTGTCTGCCGGGCGATTGAGCAAACTCATTTGTCATCTCTGACTCCTTAAATGAAGCCCTCGCCGCTTTTCAGCTTTTCACAGTGACGGATGGTGCAGAGCTTGTCCAAATAATCGTAGCAAACGCCCCACATCGCACAGCTTGAGCAGATTGTTCTCCTGATATGGTTGATGTGCACAATTTTTGCTAATATCCATTTACATTGTATCCTTACTTAAGCAAGTTTCACATTTTTAACACTTTGTAATTAATTTCTTGACCACTGGATCTGCTGCTTTGTCGGGGGGGGTATACTAAAGTGAATTGTTCTTTGACAATAGCATCATTGTGATCAGCTAAAGAGAGAGATGAGAACAGGGGACCTTGCTCCTCACCCTCATTCAGAAGTCTTACAAAAAAAAGGAAGGGGGTGACAATGTTAGTGACGGAGGGAGCAGACAGATCCCGTGCGTGAGAATTTCTTTAGACTGATGAGGCTTACTTGAGAGGAAGCATGGTCAATATTTAACCTAAGAAACAAGAAGACACAAACTGGTTTCATCATGGGAGAGTTTCTTTTAGATCCTCGAATACCTTCATCACAGAAAAAATACAGTCAGATGTGTGTTTAAATGTTGGTGAAGACTTGAACTTGCTGTTCTTTGTTTCGCTATTTTCAAATAAACAGTGGGTCGCTTTATATGTAAAAGAGGTCTCTCCTGGTGAGGGCCCTAACAGCACCCATCAGCTCCTCAAATGAAGTGTCTCTCAGCTCATTGTTTTGGTCCTCTGGCAGACAGATAAAGTCAGAAACTATTGATGATCAATTAGAGCCCATTCTACCCAAACGCAACTTTAAAAAAGGGGGGGAAAGTGTTGCTTTGGGGCCATTTGTAAGGTGGACTCAAACATGCTTAAATGACAATAATGATAATGATAATAAAGTTTCTGTGCGTTCTTTGCTTACATTCCTCTCTAGTTACGGTTCAAAGTTGCTCTCCTTTTCTCTCTCTCTTTGTTTTTAGAGATAAACAAGGCAGAAGCAGCTTTCAACCTTGTGAGGAAAATGCAAAAGGACAAAGATATGCACTGTTTTGTCTGAACTGGTGCGACGCATATTGGAGTGAAACCACTCCTCGGCTGCGGGTTAATGTTGTTTTCTGTCTTTGCATACAGAGACAGAGACAGAGCAGCCTCAAAAGGCCTACCTGAAGGTGACCCAATAAGCAACACATCCTGTAACAATTGTGTACGTGTGTTTGTGTGATAAATGGGTTAACAAGACAGCCAAATGTTCTGTTTATAGTTCTGAAGCTCTGCTGCCCCTAGTGGCCAGAAAATGTCCCTTCATACTTAGGTTTTAATTAGTTAAAGTCCAATTAAAGTAATTGAAAATCATTAAATCTTTTCACTACTTTGCTCTTGATATTGGTACAGAAATGATCTTTTTTTTCATGCAATGTTTAAGATGGGCTTTGAGCAGATCCGCTCTGCACCCCTTAATCTGAACACAGATTAATGTAACATTGTTAGAGTAAATGAAATCATCTGCATGGGACCGGATGATCTCTAATGACAGAGAGCAGCAGTGCACCATCGCTTGTGGGAAAGTTTTCCGAAGGGGGTAAACTTTTTCTTGCAGGAGAATGCTCGTATCACCCTTGTCTCATTCCCACTTTTACGGTTATCTGGAAACAAAAAAAAACGCATCCTCTGCAAGGTGGAAGGGCACGTTGGGCAGCGTAAGACTGAACAGCTGTCTGGCTGGTGGAATGAAACGTTTTTAGAAAGAAGGTCCAACTGTGAGACAAAGGGAGAAGAGTAGACATGTCATATGGCTCCCAGGAATCCTGCAGTCAAGTTGGGGGGTGCGGGCCGATGAGGACTTTGGTGTCATGCCGGTGGAGGAAGGGGGGTGTGGAGGTAGGGAGGGAAATCCACGGGGGTGTTGACTCAAGTTTGTGTGTGTGTGTGCGTGCGTGTGTGTGAGACTGAAGCGCAGCGATTTGTTCTGGAGGGGAGGAATGAGGGAGGGGCCGGCCAGGCTTGGCTGTCCCAAGAGTGCTCCCTCACTGAGGGATCAGAGACACAGACACAAGCCCTCTGCCCTCCATACCGTGGACTTTAAGAATCCTTGCTAGCTTCTCCTCCCTGTAGCTGATGTTGGACTGCAAAAGCCGCTTTGAGACGCGTGATGCCGTGGGGGGGGTTGGATACTTCCTGACTGATTAGAGCATGGATCATCTGAGCTTCACGCTGCAGAGAGAGCACCAGAGGCAGAGAGGATTGTGAGCAGGGGATAGTGGAAGTGTACGAGAGATTTACGCGAAGGTGGACAGAGATGCTTTTTCTGGAGGTAAGAAGAAAAAAGAACAGAAAAGAAACATATGCTTACAAGTTCTGAAGCTTGCAAATGCTGGTATATTTTCCTGGAAGAGCACCTGGAATGCTCTACTCTGGGAATCCAGTTCTTCAGACCTGTTGATGATTGTATTCCTGCCTGTGCGCATCTGTAGCCTCATCTAGATTTAGCATCTTGCATGTGAAACGTCCTTCTTGAGTCTGTGCAGGTGGTCTCACTCCAACTGTGTTAAGTCTGTTGTGCACCCCCTGACACCCATTTGGCCTTAAAACAACACTCTTCGGCAGGCAAAGAGCAATGACCTCGGCCTTTGAACTCCATTATTTAATAGATTTCCTGAACTAAATCCCACGATATTGGGTAAAAGTGGACATCTTCTTTTAATTTTCTTTCACTTTTAAAGACCGAATTGCAGGTCACTCGCACAGAGAAAGTTTAATATTTCAAGCAATGCACTCCCCTTAAGAAACTATGGTGCAGTTAAGACAGATTGAAGTTGTTAGTTTTTGAGTAACACGTGTAATGAACTAATCATTAGTGAATGGAAAGCTTTTAAAAGTTGCCGGTTCAGCTGGAGGAGGCAACATGTGGCCCGTGTTTACACAGACACAGTGTTGTGATTCCATCCAGCTTAAACTTTTCCTTTTTTAACCTTCTTCACCTCCCTCTGTCATGTCTCCACTGCCGCCTGCGTCTTGAAGAGAAATGGCGGTGGGTCGGGGGGGGGGGGGGGGGGGGGGGAATTTTTTGTTTTTGTTTTTTGACAAAGACAGCCATTGTGCAATTGCCAAGTGGTGACATGGTGAAATGTGAGTTGCTGTGTATGTTGGCTCAGGAATCTGCAGTCACCTTTTCCCTGCAGGATGAGGGGCAGACGCAAGCCCTGAGCGGGGTGAATGGAAGCACACCCACTCCAGCTCACTACTAGAGAAATATAGGATTACTCTCAGCATTAATTGGTACTTTTTGTCACGATTCGGGATCTAAAAATCAGAAATACTTGATCCATTATTTTTATTTGTTCAGTTAACCCCCTCGGACATCATTAGCTCAGAGGCACAAAATGAAAAGGTTGCTCTATCTAATCACATCACTTACTGGTCTTAACTCAGTTAGATGAGATAAAGTAGTACAAGCACAGATAACTTCTGTGTGATAGCATTATCTACCCCTACCATAAAACCTGATAGATTAGTGACTAAAGAACAAAGCGACACTCAGATACCTTTTTGTTCTACGATAAGAGCTTAGGGTTGACTTTTAACTGCATTTCTAATCTGTAAATTTGGTGCTCTGGAGCCTTGTATGGTAATTGGAGGAATGCTAATTCATTCCCTGTCTCGTACTGGGGTTTGACTACAATGTGTGACGTAGGAGGTCTGGAGGGTTACGCTTCTTTAAGGACAGCTCCAGAGATTTAGCATATGTAAGCAATCTCAGTCCTCAGAAAAGATTCAAACAGGTTTTTGAGAATCTATCACATAATCAAAGAGTTCAGACATGAGTGAGGAGCATGGCATGACAATAAACTAGCTATTAATTACCCAAAAAGTAACAAAAGTATGAAAATGTTCATATGTAGTAATTTAATTCTTGTTTGAATGATAGTTTGGCCTATCATCAAAAACATTTAACTGACTTCTGTAGTCAAATTTAACAGCTATAATCATCAGCCGTTAGATGCTATCAGGACCGGAGTGCCCCGTAAAAGCCTGTTCATATGTAAAAGATCCCATCTACATACAGTTTGAAGGGCCAGTGTTAAGTTTCTGTCTGTTTTTTACCCAAACAAGCCCCACTCTGGTACCAATTTGCATGTGAAAAAGCCAGAGCAGGGACAACAGACAAGTGGCCTTTTCAACACCTTGGGCTCTGTTATCAGCCCGCGAGGGCTCTGGAGAACATATCGGCTCAGATAAGGAGGCTACCGCTGAAGGCAGTGGGGGGACATTAACGGGACCGATGAGCTCATAAAGGGCCGGAGGACAAAAGCACGTTCCCCGGTTCTGCAGCATGTAGTTTTGTCTGGTGTAGCTACAGTTTAACGAACACTTTCACAGGCTTTAGTTAAATGGAGTTTGTCTCAAGTGTTGTGCAAGGGCATCAAGCCCAATTTTAACACACATGATTTTGGAATGGCTGAATAAATGAAGGCTGACTTGCACACTTGAGGGATAAAAAGCAGCAGATAAACGATTCTCTCACTCGGGGTGACTCAAGAGGTTTGGATTGTGAGGGGATTTAGTGTCACGACGAAGAGAAACTTCTGTCTCCACTGTTTGTTCTGTGCTCTTCAGGTGTTTTTACAGCCATTATGTTAAAGTCTCCTAACACTGCCAGGATAAAGGCAATTATCTTGTTGAGAAAGAATAAGAAACGGAGGCAAAGAGACTGATTGCAGGCATTCACAAATACAGAAGACTTTACAAGAAGTGCTAAAGAAATTCTAGATCAGCGGCGTCTCGGCCAATCCGTGTCGAGGGGGTGTAATCCCGATCTTCTCTACCTAATTAAAGAAAAATACATGAGGCAAGCCGGAGGGGTGAAGTGGAAGGCGGGTTATGTCAATATGAAGCCTCAATCCTCTGCTTTCATTCACAGCGCCCGTGTGCCATGAATCCGGAGCGCAACAAGAGAGGAGAGCACGCTTTACCTCAGGGCCCCGACATGGAGGCCCGTGCCGCGGGGAAGGTGGCCAAGATGTCCGTGGGCTTTCAGAGGAGCTCCACCTCAGACGACGACTCCGGATGTGCATTGGAGGAGTATGCCTGGGTGCCACCGGGACTCAGGCCCGAGCAGGTAAAACATTTCTTACTCGATTATCTTAATTTGACCATTTGTAAATGAGAAAACCTCTTCTTTGTTTTGTGTATTCACATCATCTCATCCAACCAGTTCCAGTTCAACTTGTATTGTACAAAAAAAGCAAATTTGTTGCTAAAACTGTGTGCAAAAAGCATAAAGTTTCAGTTTAAATAATGTTGTTTTTCCATTTACGCTGTTCCCTGTGACTTACTGGTGGATTAGTGCTGCAAGCTGAATCTGGCTTTGTAATTAGCTTTCACTCTTATTTTGTGTATCTAAGGCTCTCATTCATATCATTTCACTCAGAAAACACAGCGCGCAGCTCCAAACACATTTGCTGCTGTTTTTCCTGTCGAGGGAAATTAACCGAGGCAAACATTAACATTTACAGTCCCTCGCTGTCTCCTTGTGTGTGGAGAGATTTCACAGTCAGGCGCCTGTGACTGGATAGAGATTGACATGTTTGGCCTACTGAGGCACAAAAGGAGGACACACACAATGCTCTGCCTGGCTGACGGCGAAAGACTCTCCTCTTTCTCTCCTTTTTGAAGCGTTTCAACGACGAAGTTTGTTTGACTAAGTTCACACACGTGTCTCCATGTCCAGGTTCAGATGTATTTCTCCTGCCTGCCGGAAGACAAAGTGCCTTACGTCAACAGCCCGGGGGAGAAGCACAGGATTCGGCAGCTCCTCTACCAGCTTCCACCGCACGACAACGAGGTAGACATGTGCGAATAGTGGCACAGTATGTGATTAAATTTGACTAGTTTGTGTTTAAATATAACATTTCAGGCTTAAATGGCTTGGAGATGGATAATATTAAAAAGTTATATAACAATAACCTAACTCTACCAATCATTTCATGATGTCTCTTGATCAAAGCAAATTGGTTTCAGTCTTATGTCAAACAATATGCGAGACATGACTGTCACGATGTATAAATTTGGTTTCACAAAGGGTTATTTGGATCGCTCAGATTTCAGCCCCAGCTAAACCAAAGCCTGCAGCTGAGTAAAGTCTAGCTGGTCTTTTCGGGTAAAGCTAAACAATAGCTGAGGCAGGAGTGTGACAGTAAAATTCATGCTCGCCTCTTATGTATAACAGCTTTACGGTGTTTAACCCAGCAGTCCTTTCACACCTGCATTCATAGAGTTTACATTAGGAGAGATGGTGAAGGGTTATCACCCAAGGGGGGAATGTGGGTGCGACTACACTGAGGTGGTCTCTGTGTAGGCATGCGGACGATACACAATAGGTGCACTCCGAACTCACAAACACAGTGTTTAACCGAGCGGTTTTATGATGTTTGTTGGCAGACCGAGTCGTAGGGAGAGCTAAGTGCTGGAGGATTCCTTGCGTACTTGTGGTCAGGAGGGATAAGCCGTCCGTGTGTATGAGAGGGAGAGGTAGAGACGGTGTGCGAGAGCATGTGTGTGTGAGCTCACACACCAGCATTGTTGGCTGTTGTTTAGAGGGCAACTGATCTGCTTGTTAGGAAAGTCTTCATCCTCCTCCCTAAACACAGAGGAAGGGTTTCTGCATCGCTCACGCTATCCTTTCAAAGCAGTCTTGTGGGGGGAAATTAGCTTTGATTAAACCCTTTTTCCAGCCATATACTGACCCCGTGCAATGCTCATCACCAAACTCACATGCAAAGATGAAAGTAGGGCCATCAGTGGTAAAGGGTGGATGTTTTGAAATGCTAATTTAGCTTTCTTCTGGGCTGCCTCTCCATGTATTTATAATGTGTTTTTTTCATTATCCACTCATCTCTTATTTTCTGAACAGGTGCGGTATTGCCACTCTCTAACAGAGGAAGAAAAGAGGGAGCTCCACATGTTCAGTACCCAGAGGAAGAGGGAAGCATTGGGGCGTGGAACACCCAAGATCCTCCCTAGAGCTTTGCAACACACCCGCTGTGAAAGTGTAGGTCTAAACACACACACACACTTTCATATAATAACAGTTACGAGGAAACCCAACTGGTCAGTTAAGTTATTTATATCCTGTGCTAGCATCCAGTGTCCTATTCATGGCAGCCTGGGGCACAATCCTGACCGGCTAATGCAGCACTTTTAATCACCGACATAAACTTCCTCATTAGGGCAGGAGAGGAAACGGGGAAATTAGGAGGCTCACATTTAAGCCGAGCAGAGAGGCCAGTTCCTCATGAGGAGTTCAGCCAATTTCCTGCCACCCATCTATATCACAGCATGGCAGACTGCAAAAAAATAGTCAGGTTAATTGGTAATTCTTGCACACGGTCTTAAAAAACTGTTTTCCCCAACAAAGTCACAGTATGTGGCGGATAATTCCACATTAACTAGTGTAATGAGATTTGCTCAGAATGTGCAGCTGGTTTCAAGACATTTAAAGGCACTTTTGTGGCGCTTTTAATCCTCTTCGACTTTGTGCTTATATTTTTGAAGAGACACAATCATGGCAGCAATCCTAAAAGCCGACCTGCTATTTGTATTCCTGACTTGGTGATACTGTTGCTGGCATAACATCCAGTGCCATTAAGTCCACCCCGGATCGTATTTCTGAAAAACTTCCTCCCATTGCACCAAACGTAAATATTGGTGTTATGTGGCTTCCACTAAATTCATCCCTGACAAGTGAGTGAACCGTGTCATCTGCCAGGCGTCCGGGAGCTGCAGATGAAGTGTGGCCATGTTAATTCCCCCTGAACAGGCAGAGGCAGTCTGTCACCACTCAGACACAGATGCTAACGTGGGGGATGTAAGGTCACACCCATGCTTAAATGACTGATATTATCACTAGTGGACTCATGCACTAAACATTCCAAACACGCATGTATACTCACAAAAGCTCTGCAAACATGATTTACTGTCACATGTGGAGATATTCTGATGCTATCAAGACCCCTCTCCAGTTTCCATTTGCATTAAGTCTCATGGACATGAAACACCCTGTATGCAAGACCCCTGTCTGTCCAAACTAGTAATAATGGCTAACAGCTGGGCATACTATCCCATAGCTGCCGATGGGTGTCTCATAAGTATGCTTAGTTATTTAAAGACTGCAAGTTTGTGCATGCTCGCTGTCGAGTCATGTGATCTTTAGCTGGAGAGCCAAGGCCAGATCCACTGTTTAAGATTACAGGTCAAGGATGCTGCCCAATGAATAATTGATTCATGCCACAAATCAAACAGCTAAATAGAGAAGCTTAGAAAACCCGTCAAGAACTTTAATCTCTAGTTTTTTGTATGTTTGTGTTTTGTGAGATATGTTTACAGAGATAGAATCAACAGAACTTAACGGTCAAAATTTAAGCAATTACTGTTGAAGAAATGTCTCCAGCATTTAGCCCCATGCAGATAAAAAAAGAACTACTCAACAAAGAATTGATGTCATGACAAGTCTGTTTTAGTTTCAAGGCTATGATAGCAAGATCTTTCCATTGCCTTGAGAAAGACTACTCATGATTTACTGATCATATTCCCTTGGCATTGACAGTGCGATCACCTGTTGTGTGGCTGTCTTTGTTTTCACTTTGGTATGTGTGTGACCTCAGCAGTCACATGGGGAGGTCTTTCTGTTGCTGGGTGCTCAATCTCTTTACGATTTTGAACAGTTATTTGCTTGAAACATCCCTTTTACAGATTCTTTTGTTTGTTTTTGACAGTGTCGTGGTGGCATAAATGGTGGAGAGATGGCTATCTTTGCCTCCAGAGCCGGGCCCAGCCCCTGCTGGCACCCAGCATGCTTTGTTTGCACCACGTGCCAAGAACTTCTGGTGGATCTGATCTATTTCTACCAGAATGATAAGATCCTCTGTGGAAGACATCACGCCGAGCTTCTCAAGCCAAGATGCTCTTCATGCGACGAGGTGGGTGGCAGGGGATGATAATATCGCCAAGTGCCCTCAGCATTTCAGAAAAGGTCTACACAATCTAATGATGCCACGTGTCTTTTTCCTTAGATTATCTTTGCAGATGAGTGCACAGAAGCAGAGGGCCGTCACTGGCACATGAAGCACTTTGCCTGCTTTGAGTGTGGGACGATGCTGGGCGGACAGCGGTACATCATGAAAGATGGACGACCTTATTGCTGTGGATGCTTTGAGTCCCTCTACGCAGAGTACTGTGAGGCCTGTGGTGAAAACATCGGTAAGAAATGTTTATTTATGAGTACACTCTGTTTTCTTTGTGGAATCACAGGGAAGACCTATTCCTGCTCTTGGCCTTTTTACTTTTAAGGATCAAAGAGGAATGGTTAATGAGTTCCTTGACCAGGGGTCTTGGCGTCTCCTTGAATAGTTATTCGACTCCTATTCTTTGCTCCGTAAATGAACGGTCCACTATACCTGTTCAGAACTGAGTTCTAGGGCCAAGGGAAGGATTAGGAATAGGCCTGACCTGTTATTACTGGATACTGTATATAAACGTATATTGTCTTCTTTGTTTTTTCCATCATGCAAACCTTTAGGTGTGGACCATGCCCAGATGACGTATGAGGGGGTACACTGGCATGCCACAGATCAGTGCTTCTGTTGCACCCAGTGTAAGACATCCCTGCTGGGTTGTCCCTTCTTGCCCAAGCAAGGCCGCATCTACTGCTCAAAGGCTTGCAGCCAGGGGGAGGATATTCACGCCTCAGACTCCTCTGATTCGGCATTCCAGTCGGCCCGCTCGCGCGAGTCCAGGCGCAGTGTGCGCATGGGGAAGAGCAGCAGGCCGGCTGAACAGTGGAGGCAGTCGCAGCTCTTTAACCCTCCCGCCACTGTTCCCTCCTACGAGCACGAGTTCGGGGACTGTGAGGGTAACGGCGATGCCGATGGCGACATTGATATTGTAGGGCGCAAGCTGGCCCGTCTCGGCCTAGAGGAGGAGAGGTTCTGGAGGGAGCGAGAGGAGCAGGATGCCGGGGGAGAGGAGGATCCAGAAGAGTGGGCCCAGCATGAGGATTACATGACCCAGCTCTTGCTCAAATTTGGTGACCACGGAATGCTACCACAACTTCAGCAGACCTCTTTAAAACCACACAGCCCTATCAGTGACAGAAACAGGGCACAGAGTGTCTCTGATCCCTGGATAAAGCCCGATTCCACATCTCTAGGGATTAACACCTCTCCCCCCACCCCAGCCAGTCCCACCCAGAGCCAGATTTCCTCTCAGTCCAGAGCCAACAGCCTCAGCCCAGGGTTGATAGACAAGAAGCACCTGCCTGAAATGTATTGGGCCCAGTCACAGGATGGGCTTGGAGACTCAGCCTATGGAAGCCATCCAGGTCCTGCCAGTGCGAGGAAGATCCAAGAGCTGGAGTTGGACCAGGATCAGGAGCAGTCTGGAGCCGAAAGGCAGACTTTCTGGCCGGACACCAGGCAATGGTATGAAGACTCGCTTGAGTGCATCGCCGATGAGCTGAGAAGGATTGAGAAGGGTGTTGGAGATTCCATGGACTCCCTGGCACTCTCAAATATCACCGGTAAGGACTCTGTTTTTAACATGGTTTCAGCTACATTTCCTGTAAACTTCACATACTCAATATATATCTTTCTTCTTCCCCCTTCCCAGGGGCTTCAGTGGACGGAGACGGCAGGGAAAGACCAGTCATGTACACACTTCATGCCATGCAGGATCGCTCGGTGGCAGATGACTGTGAAAAGACGAGCAACATGGGAACGTTTAATTCCTCTCATCTTCACCACAGTGCCAACTCTCTCAACCTCAACATGGACAAAGGAGTTGAGGGGGCAGAGAAGGAGATGGCGCTCGCAATAAGGGGGCCCACACCGGGAGGACTTCACTCATTGTCTCCCCATTCAGAGGCCCTCTCTCCGTCCTTTGCCCAAGCTCCAGCTCTGAGAAGGAGCCGCTCGCAGTCCAGGCCACCTCAGATGGTCAAGTTCTCAGAAGACACTGTGGACAATGGATATAACGGCGACTTGGAAATCAACATTGCAAAGCATCCCATGAGTGAAAAACCTCAGAGGAGGGCTTACTGCCCAGAGGAAATGGGCAGAGAGAGGAGCTGTTCGGCGAGCCACCACGGGCGCCACAGGCAGCGCCACCACCGGCAGGGCCGCCGTCACAGGAGCCGCAAAACCCGCTCAGACAATGCCCTGCACATGGTGCCAATGGAAAGAGCACAGAGGCTCTTTGAGCCCCCGCAGCAGGGTTTGGTAAACCCCCAGTTCGGTCCCACGCGCCCACAGCAACGCACGCATGTTTTGCCACTGGCCTACACCCAAACCCGATCTGACTATATGCTCCGGAGCTCCATGCAAAACGACCCTCGGGTCGAACACGTCATGGGTTTCTACAAAGATGAAGACGATTGGTGCTCCACATGCTCCTCCTCGTCGTCAGACTCTGAGGAGGAGGGATATTTCCTGGGCCAACCTATCCCTCAGCCAAGACCTCCTGGGCGCTACTATGCAGAAGACTACCCAACAAGGGTCACCGCCCTCTCCCCTCAGAGCCATGGCTCACAGGCTTGTCGCCGAAAGGGCCACCGGTCCAAAAACTGTATTATTTCTTAACAATGCAGTATATTGGTGTAATATGCACTACAGCCAGAGTTTTCTGTCCATTTCTATGATGGTGACACAGACCAAACAGATTTTTAGAGAGGCAGCACTAACTAAGGGTGCGTGGCCATGTCAAGACGCATATCATGTGGCCAAAGGGACACAACGTAATTGAGTTGTAAAAATTAGGACAGAAATGAAAATGGATCTGTGCTACACGAGGACAGAAAATAACTTTTTGCACATGTTAGAGGTTAGCCAGACTGAAATGATGTACATTAAGCCCCTATTTTAAATTTCCACTTTTTTTTTCTTCAAAATGATTCATTCTCAGTTCAATCTTTTGCATTGGTAGATTTGTGCATTAAAAAAAGTTTAAAAGTTGTTGTACAGAGGTTGGTAATTCAAGTAGGAAATAGAAACTAACCAAATAATTATTTAATGCATAATGGCACAAAATTGAAATGTATATACTAAGTTAAGATTTTAATACTGGTATTTTTCTATATCCACAAAGGTTTTGTTTGAAGTGTTTGATTTAGAAACAAGTAGTTATGGATAGAAAACCTTGTTAATATTTGAGAAACAACAAAGCAGGTGCCACTTCATTCACAGTTAAGTGCCAGATTACTGTATTTCTGATAATGTTCCGCATTGATATTGTTGTATAAACCAACAGGCTGAAGCACCTCTATTTTCCCCTCTTCTCTACAGACATAACCATAAAAATGCTTTGTGATGTAAAGTTGCTTGTAATAAAAACTTTTTTTCTCCAAAACTTTAATCAGTTTTTGTTCAAGTTGGGATCTTTCAATACTCTCAGATATTAGAGCAATATGCAAAAATAAGGAGGTTTTCTGCACAAACGCTCTTGGGAGTCACGTTTCCCTACATGTCTGAGTCAATTATGAGTAAATAGCCTTATTCTTTGGACCATTTTCTGAATGCATGCGTGTAAAGTTTACATTTAGATTAGATCTATAATGGTAATGAGATACGACATGGAACATGTGTGGCTGTTGGTGTATGATGTATGTATAATGAGGCTGTAAAAGATATTTACTGTAGCCTTAAGTGAGGTTTTGTCCACATGCCTAAAGGATTGGGGTCTTGAATTTGGAAAAACTAAATAAAACAAGAGAATGGAATTCAACTGGTATTTCAAGGCAGTACAAATTTATATAAGTTTAGAACCACAAAATTCACATACAATTTAATACACCAAAAGAAACTAAATTTGGCAGAAAAGAAAACGCTATAAAATGTGTGAGCATGCTCAAAAACCGGTGCAGGTAAACAAAAACAAAAAAAAAGTTAAATAATAAACACAGTCGGTAAAATTTCCTCAATTTTCTTCATGAATCTTCCAAAATCATTTTCCCAGAAAAATGAGGAGAAAAAAAACAAAAACAAAGAAAAACTTCTTTCAGAAATAACACTGTTCATTCCCGTGATGGCCGTTTCCTCGGGTTGCTGTGCAGAGTCCAGCGCTCCTTTAACAAAAGCCGTTAGTCTCCCTGGTCTCACTTTAATGGAGCAGATCTGGGATCATCAGAAAGACGAGCTGTGGTTGACTCCGGTCTTTGAGAGTTTATGAGCGGTCAGTGACGTGGAAGGAGCGGCTGAGTCCCCCGCGGTGAGCTCCGGCTGCCGGACCACCTCGTCCAGCTCGTTGATGAAGTGCATGAGGTCCTCCAGGCAGCGCTCGCGGATCTCCCCCAGGTTCTCCCTCAACGGAACCTGCAGCTGCTTCTCCAAGTTGGGATCTTTAGCCACGAGCATCTTTACCACCATCCCAAAAGTCTCGCAGTCTTGACGGTACACCTGGTGGTAAAAATAAGGCAGAAATATATCAGGAAATGGCGGAAATAAGCACGGATTCTCTTTTGCAGTTTAAAAAAAGCAAAGAAACACAAAAAAGGTTTCACTATGATATGCACACAGATTTCTAAAAGAGTCAAGAGCTTGGAGATAAAAGCTCATTGGGGGTTAAGAGCCATTTCCTTCCTGCCCCACCTGTCACCTAGGTGACAACACCCCAGTGTGACTGCGCCCGAGCTGCTCGTTCTGGTGTTAACACACATCACGTAGTGTCAAAACATAAACACTTCTTCTCTCACATATAATAAAAGGCTCTTTATGTAGGACAGGGCCTGCCAGAAGCAATAAAACCACATTTAACTAGCAACTTCCAACAAGTGCTGAAGGACAATGAGGAAGAGGTGCTGGAATCTTGTTTGGGCGCTGCCATTCACACTAAGGAGCGAGCCTGTTGCCTCCACACGGAGGGTTCGATTTGCTAACTGGTGCTCCTCCGTTAACTGACAATGACACTCCAGATGTGGATGACATCAGTCCTCTAAAGTAATGACAGCATTCATGAGTCACTTGGATAGCATTTAGTACCAAATCATGTCTTTTAAATTAAATAATCTAACTACCTCTGTGGGTTGGCAGTCGCCAACTCATCAGCCGAAGTCAATTAACCCATTAATTCTTTTACTTATTACTTCCGACAAGAGGTATGTGTTGATGCATGTGCTTATACATGCATGTGTTTGGAAAATCAGGCCAGGCAAGGGCAACCTTTATTCGATGTATGCCGACGATGGCTTCTGTGCTGCGGGGCACTCCGAACGAGCGCCCCATTTATAGATTTTCACAATGTTCCGAGAACAGGACGCATGCTTGGAGAAGAGGAGGGATCCCAAATAAAGATCTGCTGTCAAACAGAGTTAATGTGCTTGTAGCAACAGATGGCCTCTTTCCAGAATATGTGCTAAAAATAGAGCAGGTCTGCTACTCAATGAGAGCAAACCCTCAGCTGATCAGAAAACTGTGACAGGTTTCTTCTGGCTGAAATGCAGCCTACGAGCCGCCTCGCTGAGAGTGGGCTGCAGCAGCTGTTTAAGCTTAGATGAGAAGCTGAGATGTACATATCATTGCATTAAAAACCGGCTGTTTGGCATTACTTGGTTAATCTTCTTTACCGGCGAAGAGCATGTTCATGTTTCTGATGAATTTAGGATTATTTGGAAATGGATATCCATGCATATCAACATAAAAAAAAACACTTAATAACTGATGTTTCATTATCTCTATTCTGTTTCAAGATTAAACCTATTTTCTGAAGGGATACAGGAAGTTCTGACACCGTCAGGAGGATTTGTTCAACAACTGGGAAAAATAAATAAATATTGATTTCAACTGGCCTTCACCATACATGCACACAACCCTATAGAGAGTATTCATCAGAAGTTGTGCAATAAATAACTTCCAGGAAAACTGTGGCGGACATCATACAAACAAACAAACGCAATACAAAGCCTCCTCTGGGCGTTTCCATACAGCCATGTAAAGGAAACTATCCGAGTGGAAAATGGTTTTGCGTCGGTCAGACCAAACCAATCGGTGAAAACCTGGGATGGCTGCTCTGGTCAGCCCTCGGTGCCAGAGGATGACCCTCTTAATCTAGATCTCTGCTGGCCGGACCATTCAACGGCTGATAACCTTGTGGATTTATTTAACAAAAGTGACTCAGGAAGCATCCAATCAGGATGCGGACAACAGCCTGTGTGTATTCAAGGAGAGCCGCTCTTACACGACAATGTGCCGAAAATGTGCTTCCTGTATCCAGACTTCCTGACAACCCCTCCCGTTATCCAATCAGGAAGGAAAGGCCCAGTTCTTGACTCTGGGTGGAGTTTTTCCAGATGAGGAGCATCTGTTTGAGGCCTCTTCAGTGTTTACCCCCGCAGAACAAATTCTTCTTGAAACTCATTTCCTTTAAGGATTTCAAACAGTCTGGAACAGGAAGGGACGTTTTCTATACGTATTTATTTTCCTAAATGATGAAAGATCAGGGGAGAGTATGTCAGGAAAATGTGCGGACAAATCTGGTCGTATTCTTTTAGTACAAATCTGAGCGATGAGGAGGAAAATAACCCCTCTGTACTGACGGACATGGTATGGGAGGCTTTAGGTGGTTAGCTTGTACTGCGGCCAAAGTCAACTTGGAGGATGACAGGGTTGAATTTCTGCAGACCAGCTTCTCATAGTCTCACAAACAGAAGTGAGGCGCTGGCCTCGTGATGGAGAGCAGAGATGTGATTTGTGAGAAGCGAGGAGATATTTAGTGAGCTTTTAAGGGGGTTTGGTGCGTTTGTGTCCGTGCGCGCCGGAGAGATGGCGAGGCCAGACGGAGCGCAGAAAGGCAAACATCTGGCTGGCACTTGTCAAGTTCCTGCAAACAAGTGCCTACTGCAAGAGGAATACTGCTGCCACTTTGGGAAAGCACATGTGAAAGTGGCTTTGTTATTGCGTACTAAAAAACGAATGGCTTACCGAGTGTTTTTAGTGGAGTGTTGTGGGCATGATGGGAAATGAACGGCAGCTACCAGACGAGCACTCATACTCTTAACAGCGGCTGGCGTGTGAGCCATTTGGGAGGGTAAACATGTAGGAGAAAGTCTCTCGGGATTTGACTAGAGCTCTAAAGTTAGGTTAAACGTTTACCAAGCTAAAACAGAGTTTCAGCAAAAAGCTTTCTCCATTCGCCTCCACAACCTTTTCCCTGCTTTCTATTTATTTTTTCAAGAAGTCAAGAAAAATGTTGATTCAATTACTTTATTTCTGGCCTAAGAATTATGTCTAAACAATCCAGGCTCTCATGAAAAACTGAGTGAAAGCTGCCAGATCACAAACAACCTTCATGCACAGGATCTGGACAGCACAAAAGCCAAAGGGGCAAAAGAGGGGGGGAGCTGGAACCTTTGGCAGAAATTGATGGTTATCTCAGAGTGAGAAATGCTGGATTGAAAGGCTGAAACTTCAGATTCCTGTGAAAATGGGGGACACCGTCCCCACTCCTAAACATAGATATCTTTGTTCATGCGGCATCTGGAGTTTTCCGACAAGAAAATGTGGAATAAAGTGCAATAAGCTCACGTGTTTTTGCTTAATAACGTTCATTAAAAAGGAGACACACATGGAGCGGAGAGAGGCACCATAAAAGAGGCCAGAAGCTGCAGTGTCAGCAGCAGCAGCGGTGAGCAGCTCGGCGAGCGCAGAGGGGGCTCCGGGGCAGAGCCGGCTCAGGTTTAACGGCCTCAGTAAACTAGCAGAAACGCTCACTGCTGCGCGAATGGTCTTCATTAGACAACCGAGCAGAGCTGGAACCTCCAGCCTGAGCTGGGCTGAGCCTTGTTAGGCGGGTGACCTTTTCAGTTTGCAGCGTGGATAATTGTACGTCACATCTAAGCAGCGCCGACTCGCAGCCTTTACTCGCATCGCTCCTGTGTCGTTATCCCGATGTGTCCAAAAAAGTCTGCTGGGAGGTCTCGGTGTACAAATTTGTTAAATGCAGCCAAAGACACAATGAGAGAAAAACCATTTGAGCCACATGTAAAATTAAATTGCCACTTGATGTAACCAGCATCCGTGAGACTTTGAATGGGAGTTTATGAGTTAAAAAAAAAAAAAAAAAAAAAGCTGAAAAAGGAACAGCCGATATCTTTAACAACCGACCTCTTTTGCTAATAACTTACACTTTTGTCGGGCATGTAAAAAGGGGAAACTAACTGAATTATAGGTTGTTTTCTGCTTTGTTTGGAACATCACAGTTGGTTGCTTTAATAAAGCTTACTTAGTACAATAAACACGTGTGATACAGACAACAAAAGGCTTATGGAATATGTTTATGAAACATATGCCAAATGGTATGCAGCCCTGGTAGCTATTTATTCATAAGTTTTGAACATAAACAATTTTTAGTTGTTTGTTTTGTTGCACATTTGTGCTTCCCTTCGTATATACATCCTGCTTATAGATATGACAAGAAAAACTATAACGATGAGTTGCAGGACTACCTTTTCTATCTCCTGTGCTTTGGCTGAGATGGCCAGGGCTCGTCTCTCTTGAAAGTTGTCTGTGGACTTCTGGCTTTCTTCTACGACGTGAACCCCCGCTGACTCCTCTTTTTCTGCTTCTGGGGGATGGCTCTCATCCTACAGGAAGAGCAGAGCAGGAGATAACGTGAGCAGAGGGGTTATTTAAAGGCCCAAAAATAGTCACTTGTTTCTTATTGCTTAGTGACAACTGACAGATGCAACATAATGCTGGAAATGATGTCAAACTTTGTATGAGGCAGGATGTGAAAAGATGTGAGTCAGTAACTGGGAGCCCAACGTCTCCACAATACCATCACCTAAAAGATGAGGTCAACCTGTAATGAATACTGCATCTTTGCCATTTGGTTGCTTTTAAAAGACGAAAAGCCAAAGTTTTCTTTAGGAAATCAGCAACATAAGAGGAGATATTTTAGCTGTATTGTCCCCAACACCTTCATAGAATAATAAGACTCACAAAAAAGCAAAGAGCAGCCACTAAATGGGCTGGGGAAATTCAAGAATCACAAAGTGTAACTATTAAAGCCGAGGAAGGAAGCAAAGGAGAGAAACGAGGCCAACTTGGATCACTGCTCAATTTCTTTTGCTCATTTCCTGATATATTTGAGTCTGAAAGCCAGTGCACAGAGCTGCCCGACCATGACAAACGTCCACTCATACATTAGCTGAAAGCAGGCCGGGGACCGAGTCATACCCCATCCCCAGATGACCGAGTAAAGAGATCGCAAGCGAGAGTGGTCTGAAATAAAAAGTCCAACTCATAAAGAATCATCCAATTATTCCCTCAGATTAACTCCCTGGAGCCATGCTGGGGGAGAAGTGCCTTGTATAAACTTGTGCACATCTGAAAGATTGCATTTGTCAGTGTCCAGGCTCCTCTGCCTCCGTTGGAAAAGAGAAAAAAAGCCCTGTCCAAGTCCATCACTTCATCCGTTTAGGCACGGCCAAACCTGGAAATGTTCTGCTCTCAATTCAAGGCTTGGCAGAATCCTGATGTCCTAAACTGAAACGTCATAAATCCTGGTGCGAGTAATCCAGCACCAAAGACCCGGTTATGAAAGTTTGTAAAATCTAAAAGCTACAACCTTCCTTAATAAAACAATAAATCTCTGGCCTGAAAAATGATTACAGGGAATGTCCAAAACACCTTCCAAGAGAAACGAGGCTCTCCAGGCAGCAATAATCGTTGTAAAATAAAATAAATGTGTTTGAGGGCGACACTGGATGGCAATGGAGCGCTTTGGTGTATAAACATTATGTTTTGAACAATTTTACGGCAGAGCAGAATAAATCCTGTCATGCAGCATGACATATGCCCTGATCGCTCTCAGTAGATCTAAGCTTAGTTTGTAAAAAACAAACAAAAAAGATGTGCATCTGGTAGGATCAGATACTGGACCTTTGCGTGACCCTTCCAGGAGCAGCCCTCCACCCAGCAGACCACCCTGGCTCGCAGCCAGAGCCGGGGCTGCTCTTTAGCCTGGGATGGCTCCAGAAAGCCTGCCTGTGTTTGTTGAATCCCCGCAGCAGGCGGTGACCTGGGCCATTAAGAGCCAGCTTTACTGGGGGCACAGCCAGGGCCTTTCATCTCAGCCAAGGTTATGGGTTTGTGCCCCGAGAACAGAGAACAACAATGCACCACGGGCCAGATCAAACGGCAGCAGCAGAAGAGTGTGTGTGTGTGTGTGTGTGTGTGTGTGTGTGTGTAGGGGTGGGGCACCGAGTCAAACTTTCATCACAGCAGTTGATTGCGTGCTGGAAGGTGGCTATTTGAAAAATGCGCCTCCGACAGACAGATGTTTACATGTTGCATCTTGTAATTACTCGTGTTTAAAACCGATGCATGACTCTTATTAGTTACTCAGCCATTTGAACTTGGATGTGTACCCCAAATGCCACAATGTCATTAAAGTGCTCATGGAGAGTTTGTATAAAAAATGAGCATTGTTATCCTCCTTTTAAACACTAAAAAACCCTCGTTAATTTGCCTTTCAGGGTGACCATCAAGACCAGTGAGCGGCTCTTATTTCCAGTGTGGTATGAGAGAATGTTTTAACAAGTGCTTCAGAGAAACCACAAGACAACCCTAAAACCATTTGGACATTAAAGCAGCAATTTTAGATACCTTTTTATAGCCTTTCTGATCAAAGTAAATCCATGCTTGGCTTGTTAAGAAATTTTTTTTTTTACAAATTATGACTGCTGGTCTGTCGGCTCTGGGACTCTCAGCATCACTTTAGAGATTTAGAGCATTTTCTACAGATTCAGTACAGGTTTTAAGTTTTCTGCTGGCGAGGAAAGTACCACTGAAACCCACCACAGACCATGGAGAACACCAGAACTGCTTATGATGTACTTACTTCCATGGTAATCACTAATAGATGCAAATGGAAAATGGCATATTAAAAGAAATTGCACAATAAAATATCACCATCTCAGTAATCGGGGTTTATTTGAGAAAGATTTTACCTATTAGTAGATGATTATTCAGAGGTTTGTATGAGAGAGAAATACATAAGTGATATTACTGATTTAAATAAAAACATAACTCTGGGAAATATCCCAGAGTCTCCAAGTAATATGACTAAAACAGAGAAACGTAGCCAGACTACAGAAAAATTAAGAAAATAACCCTATTGAGCCACAGATTAATAAAGGGCAGGTACAAAGAAGGAGAAGCAAACAGATGCAGACACTGGCTAAAAGTCAAACTAAAATCCATTCTAGTGTAAAATAAATGCAACATTCTTTTGATCTTTCAATCAGTTTTGCTACAAAAATCATTGACTTAGGTTGTGGTCATGGCCGAGTTATAACCAATGGCCTACTTTAAACATCCAGGTTAGAACTCTGGCAGAAACTAGTCAATCTGCAGCAATTTAATTTCACAAAAATATGTAATTACAACAAAAGTAAATGGGAGTCATCCAGAAATGTAAATGCACCATAAACAAAATGGAATAAAATCAAATAAAAAATAAAGAAATTTAAGAGACCTTGTGCTGGTCCATTTATCCGACATTCAGCCACACACAGACAGACTTCACCCGTTAATGGAAGCGATTGTTCATTGTAAACAGCGTAAACACATCCCAGCGGGCTCCGCGGGGAGTTCTGCTGGCTTTGCGGTTAAGATCATGTGATAAAGTTATGACTTGGGCTACTGACTTAACCCTACGCTTCTGGGTGGCCACTGCTAGACACAGTGCTCCTAATCAAATCTGATTCCATTTACACTCCTCTGCAAAACTGAAGATGGATGATATCGGCAAAAACAAACTTCTATTTGCAACTTAGAAGGTATATACATTGAATGCTCGAAGCAATTTCTTCCCCAGCTTTGTCGACACTTGACCCTTTTTCCTAAACCGTTGGTGTGACTGAAGTTTGCTTACAGCAGAGGTAAACAAAGCTCAGGCCTGATGGCTTTTAAGCCGTGTGCGAGCACCACTTTAAAACCCATTAACATGCTTTAGAGGAACTAAACGCTCATAAGAAGGATGGCATTTAAGAAGTTCCAGATGCACCCTGCTGTACAACGACAAGGGCAGAGTCCACGGTGACCAGTAAATAGCAAAACAGACCATAGACCATGTGGGACAGCAATGACTTTAAAACAAAAGCAGCATAGCTGTGGAAAAAAGAAATATTTTTTGTGCTCCCAGAGCCTCTTGAAAAATGAACTCACCTTGTTTGAGGTTGCGCTGTGTGGGGAGCCTTCTCTTGACAAGCCAGGAATTTTGTCTAAAGGTTTTAGGAAGACAACACGACAAAATCATTGGCAACTTAATTCAAAACAGACATTGGCATTATATCTGTTATTTGAAAAAAGGGGGGGAAAGAAGGGAGAAAAGCTGTAAGAGGATGGAATTCCAAGGAAAAAGGAAAAACAACTAGTGTGACTAGAGAAAAGATGTTTGGTGGGACGATCAAGACGAGTGCATAATATCTAGGTGCATAATGACACTGATGGAAGACCACCATGCTCTGAAGGTGAAGTCACTGACCAATACCCTCTAGCTGCTCCCTTCTCCTTAGCTCCGACACAAACGTCACCACTGTGCACTGTCCAAGGCTTTGTGGGCAACCAAATGCTAAAAGTGAGCTCCAAACGCAGAGAAATGAAACTAAAACGGCGCAGAGTGGAAGGCCGGGGCTTCAGGAATATCCATCAGACACCTTATACCCTCCACCTCCACTTCCACACACGAGCTGGTGGCATCTTTATGAGGCCTGACAAAGTGGCAGACAGAACGGAGCGGATGGAAGCCCGCAGGGCACATTAGAAACGCTTTCTGTCCACTCAGGTTACGCCGGCTGGGAATAGGTCGGCTTTAACGACTGGCTAGGCTACAGTTAATATATCTGAAACAAATCCTCTACGTGTCACCTCATTTTGGTTTTATTCATTTGGACTTAAATAACATGCCTGCCCATTAGAAAATGATGTATGCATGATCCATGAGTGGCAAAAAAACTGAAAAAACCCCCCCAAAACAGCCGTATGGGTGAGCCACTGTGCTCTCAGGCAACTACCCTGAACGGTACTTACCACTGATCAGGTTCTGGGTGCAAGGGTCTTCATACCCTGCAGGAAGACCAAACCGCAAGATCATTAGCTCTGCAAGTAACCGGCAATTTTACGTCACAGCAAGGTCTCAGACTCACTGCCCTGAAGCTTAACTGGGAAATAATAACGCTTACGATCTGCCGTGCAAGTTACAAACAGGCATCTCCTGCTTAGGATTTGTTATATGCGTTGGTAAACATACATATTAAGCATTTCTTTAAGAGGGGTCTGGAAATGTAAAGGGGAGGGGACCAAAAACAAGGACAGCAGCAGAACTAAACAAAAAGGCCTGTGGAAAGGGGGGACTTGGAAGATTTAGAGGCTACAAAAACAGCATGCAGGAAGCAAGGAGATACTTTAGCACTTTAATGTATTTTACAGTCGAGCCGGTTTTAGTTTTGTTACTGGGCTTGTATGTATAAAAAGAGTAGAAATATCCAACATGAGATTTAACTTTCAAATGCAAATTTTAATTCTAAAATGTAGTTGGTGCCTTTTTGTAATAATGAATAAAGTGCTAAAGTACTCCTTCAGCAGGAAGTGGAGATGGTAGAAACATCCTAATAAAGTCCCTGCTAGACTACTTATGAAAAAAGCTCAGGTGAAACTCACTCAAGACCTGGGTGATAAACAGCAGCTAGTTCTATTCATATATAATTTTTCTCCAGTTAAACTTTTTTTTCCCCATTATCCCTCTATCATTCTAGCATTTTCCCCTGACGTGAGAAGGATGCAAGGAGGTCACCCAAGCCCAAGCTTGTTCACGTGGCTCAGTGTACAGACCCAAAGTGTCATGTCCACTCTGTTGAGGAAAGAGTGCCCCCCAGAGGTGCTCAGAAGCACCCGTGTGACTCTCTGGACCGTCCACGCCTGAAAAGCCAATCAGCCAGATTATCAGTTAAGGACAGAGAAAAAAAACAAGAATTTAGGTGGACAACAATAAATGCAGACTTCTGGGGCTGAACTTTTTTTGTTGCATGAGAATATATGCATACATCTATATAAACTAACCAGATTATCAACATGAAGCTTTTCAAATGTCTTTCAGTTGTCAAACTTACTGGCAATGTGCAAATACCAAAAAGGTCTCTATTCCATTTCTTTCTAATTCTAGTAAGAATTTATGGTGTGCACATTACAGGATATTCCAACTATAAACAGCTCTTCAAGCCATTTACAGTTGTTTAGTTTTTTATAGCTTCATGCTCCATCAGGGAAAGGAAAACTAAGCTTTCTACATACTCTTGCCTTGCTGTGATGGAAAGGGAAGGCCCTTGGCTCTGTCTGGCGAGTACCCTCTGCTGCTCACACTAGAGCCGGAGCGGCTGTGGGGGGAGCGGGCCACGTCACGCCGCACAGGTGAGCGCTCTCTGATGGGAGGAAACAGTGTGGCTTTTCTCCTGTATGGATCTCGGTCCTCACTGGGAAAAGGAAAACAGATTGGGCAGGAAGTGGGTCATGCTTTTTTTGCTCAGTCCAAACACCCAAAGAGGATTAAACAGAACCGTCTTTTATGTTCTGACAATTAATTAATCACAAGCACAGCTGAAAGTGTCCTGCACAGAAATGAGGGATATCTGTTCTCGTACCCTCTGTCCAGGTTGCGAATGGCTTGCACTAAAGTGTCTTCGCCACTCTCTGGTAGTGATCTGGGTGCTGGATAGATCCCCTGGTTGCGCACGTTGTGATGCGGCGGTGCTCTGGCACTGAGGACAAACCAGAAAAAGCAAAAGTCACAAAACGGTTGAGTATAATTTAAGTCTGTCATGCCACCTTCTCTTCAGTGTTTACTCAAAGACAAACACGCCAACAGAAAAGTCTGTGTCTGGCTAACGAGCCAACAAGACTGACAGTTGTCCTAACCGTGTAAACCGCTGTGGAGACGGCATGAAATGTGAATAAGGTGAGACAGGCCAGTATGGGCTGGAAACAGACCACGATTTATGACTGCTGCCACATAAACAAACCCTTCCCTGCAGGGACATCTACTTTGCCAGACCAAAAGACTTTTACCAGAGGTCTTCATTAGTGTGTGGGAAAAGACTGCCCCCTTCTGTCCAAACTGAAACCATCATAGAAGTTGTAATTTGCCTACAATACTGATTCAATGGAAAAAGATAAAAGGACATTTACCTAAACTCCATAGGCCGCCCTGTGTGTGGATCTTCCCTTGGTACCCTGTAAGGATAGTCCTCCTACACAAGGAAAAATAAAGAATCATAAACATTCCATTCAAGTGAGGACAGCATCAATTTATCATATCAAATATTAAAGTGAGGAAAATGAGTAATTGAACACCCTGCTATTTACAAGTTCTCCCACTTAGAAATCATGGAGGGGTCTGAAATTGTCATCGTAGGTGCAAGTCCACTGTGAGAGACATAAAAATAAATAAATCCAGAAGTAACAATATATGATTTTTTAAATATTTATTTGCATGATACAGCTGCAAATAAGTATTTGAATACCTGTCTATCAGCTAGAATTCTGACCATCAAAGACCTGTTAGTCTGCCTTCAAAATGTCCACATCCACTCCATTTATTATCCTAAATTAGATGCACCTGTTTGAGGTCGTTGGCTGCATAAAGACACCTGTCAACCCCATACAATCAGTAAGAATCCAACTACTAACACGGCTAAGACCAAAGAGCTGTCCAAAGACACAAGGCCACAAGGCTGGAAAGGGCTACGGGGAAATCACCAAACAGCTTGGTGAAAAAAGGTCTACTTTTGAAGCAATCGTTAGAAAATGGAAGAGGCTAAACATGACTGTCAATCTCTGTCGGACTGGGGCTCCATGCAAGATCTCACCTCGTGGTGTATCAATGATCCTAAGAAAGGTGAGAAGTAAGCCCAGAACTACACGGGAGGAGCTGGTCAATGACCTGAAAAGAGCTGGGACCACCGTTTCCAAGGTTACTGTTGGTAATACACTAAGACATCATGGTTTGAAACCATGCATGAAATGGGAGGTTCCCTGCTGAAACCAGCACGTTTCAATGCCCGTCTTAAGTTTGCAAATGACCATTTGGATGATCCAGAGAACTCATGGGAGAAAGTCATGTGGTCAGATGAGACCAAAGTAGAACTTTTTGGTCATAATTCGACTAACCTTTTTTGGAGGAAGAAGATTGACGATTACCATCCCAAGAACACTATACCTACTGTGAAGCATGGGGGTGGCAGCATCGTGCTTTGGGGGTGTTTTTCTGCACATGGGACAAGGCGACTGCAGTGTATTAAGGAGAAGATGACCGGGGCCATGTATTGCAAGTTTTTGGGGAACAACCATCTTCCCTCAGAGCATTGAAGATGGGTCGAGGCTGGGTCTTCCAACATGACAATGACCCGAAGCACACAGCCAGGACCTAGCCAGTCTCCACACCTCAACAGAGAATCTTTGGAGGGAGCTCAAACTCTGTGTTTCCCAGCGACAGCCCAGAAACCTGACTGATCTAGAGAACATCTGGGTGGAGGACTCGGCCAAAATCCCTCCTGCAGTTGTGCAAACCTGCTGAAAAACTCTGTAATTGCAAACAAAAGCTACTGTACCAAACATTAACATTGATTTTCTAAGGTGTTCAAATACTCATTTCAAGCTGTATCGTACAAATAAATAGTTTAAAAAAAAAATAATATTGTGATTTCTGGATTTTGATTTGACTCTCACAGTGGACATGCACCTACAATGACAATTTCAGAGCCTTCCATGATTTCTAAATGGGAGAACTTGCAAAAAAGCAGGGTGTGCAAATACTTGTTTTCCTCACTGTAAATCTACGTCAAATATCGATACCAGAAATTAGAATTCGTCCATATGTTTTCAATCAATTTTTCCTTTTGCAGTCTTTTGCAGGACGAAACACAATCCTCCAAATTTAAATATTACATATTCTGATTAGCAAAGCCAGAGAGATATGTTGTCTAAATCATCTTAAATTCTCACAGCCACAGTAGTCAATACTATATCAATATTTGAAAAATGGATAACATCCTTACCCTCCTTGAAGGTGGAATAGCTCTGCGTTCAACAGGAAAATGATGGCCTTCCCCTTGGTAACCCCTCTGATCTTCATGATATCCCCGAGGGCCCCCTCCATTTGGGTAAAAGCGAGGACCTCCTTCATATTCATAGCCACCGCGGCCATAGTCATCCTCTGGCCGCCCAAAGGGACCTCTCCTCTCTGCCCCTCCAGCCACACGTGGATATGGACCCTATAAAGAACAATATCCTCCATTTCCTTCACTGAACCACAAACTGAATTGCTGTGACTCCTTTCAGTCTGCTTGACAGAGGCAGAATCTGCTGCTCAGCAGAAAGGATTTGCATGCACTCACCGGCCTATCTGGTAAAAAACGATCATCATAGACCTCTCGTATAGATCTGTCTCTCCGGTATGTCACTGCAAAGAACCAAAAGTGAAAGATACTGTAGGAAAAAAAATCCTTCAAGATGCAATAGAAATGTTTTTTCAAGGATTACTTTATACATACAACTAAATATCTCTTCATTTGTGCATGCAATACAAGTCTTGTCAGACAAACCCTGCTTTACTTATTTAAATATTCAAATTAGAGTTGCATGAATAAAATGAAGACTTGATTAGAACTTACTTTTTGACTTAAGGATCTCTGACAAAATACCTTCAAAGAAATCTGTAAAGACATTTGAGTAGCATCAATACAACATACTCTTAAAGTAGATGAGATGGAAAAAAACAATGTATTTGAATCTTTAAGAAACGAAAAAAAAAATCAAGCTTGAGATTCCACTATATATAAAAATCAATTATTGAAACAATGTCTGGAGCAATTTGATACAGTGTGCCTGAAGCAAGTTTCAGCAAACTTGACTGAATGAACGTAAATGTGGTTTGTCCACTCAAATAGAAGCACCAACTTACACATCTTTCTTGCACCAAACTGTTACTGAGACAAATCCACAAAACATTTTTTTTGCCATTTCTGCTCCATTCTCTATTATTATGAAAGAAACCAAATTAGCTAACACACAACTACACGGTCTGTTTTATGTCAGGGCAAGCTAGCATATCGTTACAACCTAAAATAGCCAAAACCAGGAATGAGTACGTTTAAGATCACGTATATTTTGATAAATGTAAACATGCATTAAAACCTGGCTAAAAATGTTTATTTCGGCGCACAATAATAAAACCATCTCACCTTTCTCTATCTTTACTTTAGCCTCTCCTTTCTAGCTACATGGACATCGGCTACTTATACAGCGATTCAACAACGTCATCAAGTTGCGACGCACCGACATGGCGTTTGTTTCTGTTTGCTAAATTTGAACTAATTGAGAAATAGAATAAATTTGGCTTCTTAGAATTTTTAAAAAACAAAAGCAAGTGTTATCCGAACCGTGGCAGTTGCCTTTGTAAGTATGCTGTTGAATGTCTTCACTGCAGTAATGTTACGGTCAAATATGGAACGATTCACTGTTGTGATGCATCACAGTTTGACTGCTTATTATTTTTTCCTTAGTTTTTCCAATGCGTCCACTATGAGCGGAGGTTTAGCACCAAGCAAAAGCACAGTGTATGTGTCCAACTTGCCTTTTTCTCTGACGAACAGCGACCTGCACAAGGTTAGTTTCATCTGGCAGTTTCCACTAAATTCCCTGCAATCAACTGTATGACTGACACTAATAAACACTATCATTTCAGTTATTCACTAAATATGGAAAAGTCGTGAAGTAAGTAATTGTTCTTGCATGTTTGGTTTTTATGTTAATCTTCTTCTTTCATGTAAATTGTAACAGTTAATTCCTCTGGCTTGTTTTGCAAGTAATAATAGCTGTAATTCTTTACCTCAGGGTCACAATTGTCAAGGATAAGCACACTCGCCAGAGTAAAGGAGTGGCGTTTGTTCTCTATCTGGACAGGGAATCAGCTCATAACTGCGCCAGAGCGATTCACAACAAACAGGTGAGCTGTGTTCATTTCCATATGTTTAATTTACAGTCTTAAACAGCAGTCTCTTTCCATGTGATCTTGCTTTAATTGATGATAACTTGTCTGAGTGAAATTTGCCTGTATTTCAGTTATTTGGCAGGACAGTAAAAGCCAGCATTGCCATCGACAATGGGAGAGCAGCTGAGTTCATAAGAAGACGGAACTACACAGACAAGTCCAAATGCTATGAATGTGGGGTCAGTTCATGCTTTGAATTTGTCCTGAGGTTTTGACTACTTCCGTAGAATTACCTGTGCAGTATGTTTATATTACTTCCTCCTCTAAATGAAAAGCCTTTTCTAAGTTTTGTTTTTGTTTCCACTGAACTGTCCCAGGATGTTGGACATCTGAGCTACGCATGCCCCAAAAACATGCTGGGAGAGAGGGAACCTCCAAAGAAAAAGGAAAAGAAAAAGAAAAAAAGGACACAAGAGCCTGAGCATGTGTAAGTATTAGGAGGCAGATAATCACAGAATATTTTATAATGGAATGTATCATAAAGTGTTTATTTTTGCCCCATTTAGTGAAGAAGATGAAGAAAGTGAAGAAGAAGGAGAGGATCCAGCTTTAGATAGTTTAAGTCAAGCCATTGCTTTTCAGGTAAGGATTCACAGATAAACTATGGATGTTTTCATTTAAAATAATCATGTTAAATAGTTTCTTTCAGATTATATTCCAGACATTACGAAGTATTTATCAAAACAGAAAAATAAAACAGATTGCATGTTGGCATTAAAACTAATTTAACCACAGTGTAATGTCTATGTAACTAATTTTGTTATAATAGTTTGTAAATAGTCAATGCACCCTAAATTTGAACCTCAGCTAAATGTCAACAGTTTTAAGCAGGACTCCGTGTATTTGACAGCTGTGTGAGATTTAATCTTTTCACTGATGCATTCTGTAACCAAAGAATTATATTTTAACTTCTTTAAATGCTTATTCATTTGCAAGCTGGTAAATAAAATATGTATTTTGTCCTTCCAGCAAGCCCATATGGAGGAAGAGGAGATAAAACGGAAGAGGCAGGCTGAAGAGGACAGTGCTCGTGCTTCCACATCCTCGGACTCAAAGAAACCAAGGATCAAAAAGAGCGCATACTTCAGTGATGAGGAGGAGCTCAGTGACTAATGACTTGCATGCGCAGATATTCATGTTTTTTTAAACAGTTATTATCGGGTGGAAGAGATGCACACCATCTGTCAGATTTGTCTTTTTTTATTGAAATCTAATTCTGTGTAATTTATGGATTGAACATTTACAGGTTGTTACTACTTCCTTTCTTTCAATAAAGGAAATTTACAATTTTTAACAAAGATATGTACTGTATTTATTTGAAAAAGAGACAATGCTGTGACTGTGGTTTAAAATGTTCAGAAACTTTATACAGTAACCTGAAACTGGTTCTTCAGTTGGAATTTGGCTCCAATAAAATTCAGTTGTCTGCATGAAATGGGGATGATCAGGCTTATCTGATTTGAGATGTTTGGTGCACCTGCTTTACTTTATCACCCCCTTTGAAATATGTTTTTAATAACTACAACACGCAGAGTGAGCCGAGGATTCCCCCGCTTTTAATGAGTTTGTGATGCAAACAGCAGCGACATGTCTGCGTACCAGGGCAGTGCAGAGATGCAGGGACGCAACGGATTATCGGTACGGTGGTCTGACTCAAGCAGCATCCCACGCGGATGCAGCTGTGAACACGGTGTTTTACAGCTCCACGAAGAGCTCATGGATGGATACCTGCTGTACAGACCGCAATCATTAGAGATGTGATCAGAATGAGAAGAAACGGATATTTTTTTTGACCAACTACTATACAGAGGGTGTTAGGTTTACGACGTTCCATGAATATATCCCCAAATGCATCATTCTGTTCTGTTTCCTTGAACATATTTCAAATAAGCGTGAGTAATATAAATAAATCATGTTATTACTATAATAAAACAAATAACTCACTGGTGTTTGTGTTTATGTCTTTCTGTTACGTTTTATTTTCAAGAAGTGTGACATTTTAGCAAAGACAAAAACACAGAAGGGGAGCTTACTAAGTGTACGTGAAGGCAGCCCTGATTCATGAAGAGGAATGTCAGCCTTGGGAAGTTATCGAGCCTCTGATTGGCCACGGTGAGTCACGTGCTCATTTCCCAAGCGGAGTTTCCACGACAGCTGGAAGCCGAGCGGCACGGACGCATCGTTTCATTGGTAAAATAATTTGAAATAACAACACTCCTGCTCGTCTCAGCTCCTCTACGGTAACCCTGGTCTGGCATGGGCGACAAGAGGAGCCCCACAAGGTAACTACCGCCTCAGTGCGTCCACAAAATTCTTGCTAGGGGAGGGGAGCGGACATCGGCGAGCGCGCTGAGGGGGGAAAAAAAATGGGTTTTCTCTCTGGTCTCTCCCTCTCTCGCGCGGCGTTTGTGTGAGTATGTGCGCGAGGTGCCCGCGCGCGGGTGTGAAAACCTCATCGGCAATTACGGTGTCAGATCACAGCGCGCTCGCAGATGATTTCCTAAATCCTGTAGGCTGCGGGCCAGATGTTTGCTATCGATAGCCTTTTTTTTTCGGATGACAGCCGATTCTCCGTGTCGTTCTCTCTCCTCCCCTGCCTGCTCATTTCGTTTGTGTAGTGTTCCCTTTTTTTGTTTATACATTTACTGTCTTTTAAAGGCCGAAGCGTCAACCGAAGCCCTCCTCCGACGAGGGGTTTTGGGACTGCAGCGTGTGCACGTACAAGAACACGGCGGAGGCTTTTAAGTGCATGATGTGTGATGTCAGGAAGGGGACATCAACAAGGTAAGACGATAGATTTACGTTTCCTTTTATGTGTTTGGCATTTGCTGGCAGATCCCACGGGATACAAGGGCCAGCCCCCACATTACAGTCACCCTAGCTCTCATTTAAATGTGTGTTTTTACCTATGTACCTTCATATTTAGTTGCATATTTACTGTTTTGTGCCTAATCTACACCCAAACACGATGCCTAGTTGTACTTCCTTCTGGGAGCTTTCCTCGATTGTATTTATTCAGCACGTCTGGGTTTAAGAAAAACCAACATGAACACTCCAACTGAGTCAAACTGGGTGTGTTGATTGGCTGATTTCATTTGAAAGTTATGCCTTAAGTTGTCCAGCTGGCTCCTCCGTGTTGACAACACTGTCCCTAGGTCCACGCATTCATCACATCGCCTTGGAGAAATATTCAGCTGACAGGATGGAGGGGGGGGGGGGGATAGATGCTTCTCAGAAGGGCGCTCATGACCTCGCTTACAAATAAACAGCATGAAGGCGCACACACGCCCTTTGTGCCTGTGGCTGCTGTTTCCCCTGACATCGGTGATATAAAGCAGGAAATTGTGGTTATTCCTGAGTGGCAGTCATTATCGGGAGAAAAACACAACAAAGGGCGAACGGGAGGAAGTGTGGCTGTTTGCTCTGGCTCGGGGACACGGTGTGTGTTGTTACGTGATCTCCCTCTTTAATGCATCACTAATTATCCTCCTCTGCATCAGCACAACTTTCCTAATGATTAAGCTTCAGCCGAGAACAATGAATCTTTGATGCCTTTTGTGGCGTTTCTTTGTCGTGCGGGGTTTGTTAATGCCAGTGTTTATGCGTGGTGTGCGTGTGTGTGTGTGTGTGTGTGGGTGGGAGGGCTAGTTGTGAAAAGAGGTTGTCAGAGCAGCTGCCAGACAGACAGCCATAGCTCATTACTATGCAACAGCTTAATCAGCCTGCTGTCCTCTGAAGCACACACGCACGCCCAGATGCACTCATCATGCAAATTTTCACCATGACCGCATGCATATTTGAATGCAAACACACACCCACAAACCCTCACGTGGACAGTTGTTGAGTTTAGCCAGAGGGACACACATGCTGCCCCTCGCTGTTCCTGTTTAAACGCAGCTGTGTTGATTGTTTTTCGGACACTTCATCCACTATGACAGGCTTCGGAGTTGGATTCTCTGCCAAGAGCCTTTCTTTCCTCCTCCTGATACCCCCCAAAAAAAGACGTATTCTTAATTTCCCCAATCTGGGTAACAGTTCCTCACTAAAGCCCCCGATGCCCGGGCAGAGGAGGCCTGTCTGGGGCAGATTAGGTGCTGTCCTCCAGACGCCGTGCTGCAGAAATATTGTCTTCCGCGAGGACACACAAACGTGTACGCACACGACACGCTCGCCCGGCACTGCAGCAGAACGCGGCCACCCAGGTGGTCACAGCCATTAATGGCCAAACACGCCAGACAAGTAGATTTCCCTGTGAGCACGACCAAGGTGCTAAAGGGCGGGCGACGCGCGGAATATAAATGTGAGGCATGGCAAATTCCTACACTGCTTACGAAATAAGCGCGACCGAACTGTTGTGAGGAGGTGAATTAATGCTGGACAGGGGCCTGTGACGTCCAGCGGGCTGAGGAGGAGTCCCACAGCAGCTGATGTGGGTTCTGATGAGCTCAGGGTACATATAGAAGAGAAGAGATGGAGATAAAAGACTGTTTGCATGTTGTTGTATAAAGGTTAGGTTCAGCGGATCTGCCCCCTTGGTTCCTGTGACGTGTCCAGATGATCTACAGCAGGGGTCAAAGGCGGTTGGCTGATCAAGGGAGAGGGTCTGAATGCAGACAGGCTGGGAAACATCAGCACAATCGGACTCTCTTATCAGTGGGGATGGTTGTAAATGGTGGGCAGCTTGATTGAGTGGTTCCTGGCTGAGATTTCACTTATTTCGTCGGCACCTCGTCGCAGGGAGAACGGTGGGACCTGCACACGGACTCAAAGTTTTGCCACGCCGGCCTCTCTTTTTACCTCCATTTTCAGAGAAAAATACTGTGATGCAGTAAATTGGTTGCAGCCATTCGTGTAAATTAATCCTACAAATGAAGTTGCTCTCCACTGCAACCTGCTAGCTCTGGCTGTTTAATTAAAGCAGTCTCAGAGAGGCTCTGGGATCCCAACAAATCATGCAGTCTCATTAACTTTGCAGAGAAAAAGTCAATGTCCAAGTTTTTGGGTGCAGTCCTGGCCTTTGAAAACAGATGTGGGTGTGAAATCAGATGAGATTCTTATTTTAGCTGAAATACACAAGCTTTGTCCATGAGCAGTGCAGAGCTAGCTTCCCATTCCCACTCAGCCTGGTTCATGTTGTCGACCTAAAGCTTTAAACATACAGGTCTCCTCTTTTAAAACGCCTCGTGACGTGATGCTGACAGGCTAAATGCAATCCTTCACAAAATACTGCGGGGTATAATAGAGAAGCGTGTGACCTTCTCTGGTGTCTGCAGCACCTGCAACAGTTCACTGAGCTGATCTGACAAGCGCGAGCCACCAGGGAAACGCTCCACATTCAGGCGCCTGTTTTCCTCCATCCCAGTGCATCACTGCGGGTCAGGACACGGAGCCCGATCACGTCCCTCCCAGTTTGCACTCGCCCGCTCTCTGCCTTTATTTGTTCTTCATCTCCGTGATTGCGGTTTGCTCCCCTTTCTACGCCTTCCCCTCTCCCCTGGAGATGAACCTAGCCCTGGGCGTCTCTCTGACAGAATGACTGATGTGCAGGTTTCAGTCGGCTCCACCTAAAATAAGCTCCAGCCACTCTGGCTCGCTGGGAACCTTTTCAGCGTTTGGCTGTCTTGGATGCTGTTTGGTCATCCTTTGGCTGCCCACATACTGAAACATATGGTGTTATTCAGCTAGAATTACTGAGGTTGTCCTTGAGCTTTGTGGTCTAAGTGACATTATAAAGAAAACACAGAAGTGAGTTTAACATTACATCACTTATACTGTAATAAGTGAATATTTTCCAGTTTTTTTTGCCCATGTCAGAAACAAATGAACCTTGTTCCTACTCTGCAAAATGCATTCCAGATTAAATAAAAAATTCAGGCCCGTTTTCTAGCTTTGATGGGTGAGGGTTTACCTTTTTAATCAGACTAAACTCTGGACCACAGGAACACCTTAGTCCGGTGGTTCCCTTCCCTTAGGAGCTGCTGTCTTTGTTCCGCTCCACCTTCGTGAAACCCTTAGCAGAAGCCTCAACATGAAAACAACAGTTGCAAAACACATCCAGTCATTTTTCCCTTTTCTGTGGAAGAAAAGCTAAACAGGATTCATTTCAGACTGAAAACAGGCTGCGGTGTGCGGTGGTATTTTCTCTGATCAAACATTCATTAAATGAAAATAAGCTCCCGCATTAGGATCTTTGGTCTTTTTTTGGATAGAAACCAGAAACAGACGTCTCGGCCCGCTATTCAAACGATAACCTCCTCTAATAAGAGCCACAGTTGTGCAGGTTAGCAGCGGTAGCATGCAGACGGAGAGAGTGTGGACTACCGACAATGAGTTTGACCGTTATCACGTCAATGTGGCTGAAGATTACGGCTGCGTGATAAGCCTGTAATTACTGCGCTGACACTGATGCATGACACCCCGCTCCGTGTGTTTGTGCAGGCGGCCCGCTTCTGAGAGCGAGGCGAGCGTGGCAGAGTGTGGCCGGCGGGGCTGCAGAAAAGGTGTCATAAACCACAGGACGCCCGACGCCATCTGTCTCTGTGTGCTACACGCACACGCAGAGTAGTAGCATGTACGGGCAGGGAACGGCATTAATCATCCGCTCGAAAGGGGCTCCCGAGAGCGGCGTTCTACCTGCCGATGGAAAAAAAGCACCAGAAATTAAAAAAGCCTAACGGAGACACACACACCTAGATTGAGGGGGGCTGTTCAACAGGGCGTAAAATGAGGTATTTCACAGCCATCTTGCAATCATCACAGAGCAGGGAGATGAGATCCGTCTGCAGCCAAAACCCCTCCGGCGCATTTTTGCGGCCCGTCAGCTGTCCTGCGTGTTAGCTCACCACACAGTCAGCTCCATAGCCGAATCTGTCCCTCCTGTTTTTTTAGGCTCTGTTTTGATCGGATGAACGAAATGAAACGTGCGACCGATCGACGTGGCGGTGCTCAGCGAGTCACAGAGGTGACCCGTTTGCCCACAGAAGCAGAAACGGCCCCGTTGCCCGGCAATGGCGTGTCGGATGCAGGGGGTTTAGCGGCTGGTAGTGAGCCAGTCTGCGCCACGCTGAGCTCAGGCCGGCAGCAGGAGGAGAGCGCTGGGGGTCAGCGAGTGCACCGGAAGGAGGGAGGAGAGGAGAAAGGCCAGGGGAGCGAGATAGCGATAGATGGCGTGTTGACTTGTGTGTGCGTGCGACATACTTGAGAAGAGGTCGCCCAGAGTTCCCCGCTCACTGCTGACATTTTTGGTTTCTGGGCATGAAACACCAGCATTTTGTTGTTTGTAGAAGAGTGACTAGAGAAGAGGGACTTCCATCTGTGAAGGCAAAAGGCAGTTTGACTGGACCACCTCTGCAGACTGAAGAGAAAGATGTGCTGTTGTTTTCCTTTTTTCCCCCCCTTTGAAGAGGAGTTTGGTTTATTTAAGCCCTGCTCATAATGCCCTCATTTCTCAGCGTGCGCCTCCATTAGTTGCTGCAGAGTGGATTGCATGAGAGGGCAGCGAATATCGACTCCAACAGCTGTTCCAACACACCGTATTAATGTCACCCAATAGGCTGTTAGCTTATGGGCGCAAATTCTTTTTAGAGTCAATAAACGTGCGCAAATACTCACTCGACATCCAAAGCGAGGGGAATAAGTAGCAAGCAAAACAACGTTTGATTGGGTTAACAGAAGCAGACCTGCTTCCTCTTTCATCTTCATGTTGGCGAGCTGGCCGGCTTAGCTAAGCGCTAAGCAGCTGCAGTGGAACACAGACGACAACGGTGATAAACGATTCCACCTTTCCCTGCAAAACTATCATCAGCTGACGCGTACGAATATAGCTCGTCTTTCATTTGCAACCCTGTTTGATCATTTAAAAGTGTCTGTGAGACCCCTCAGAGCAAAGAGAAACACCGGATTGCAGCCTAAAGCTGTGCTCATCAAAACTGACACCACAAACGCCGGCGTTCTCTGCACTTTGGTGTGTCAGCCATCTCACTTTGTTTAAAAGAAATAAAGTATGCAGTTCTGGTGCATCTGGCTGATAAAACAAACGTATTAAAGAGTCTTGGCATCTCCTCCTTATCAGACACTTATGTAGGCCAAGAGAGCCATTTGCATTTCACTGTAGCTTTGCTAACATCGCATTTAGTTCTGTGAAGGCACTGATAACTCTTAAAGAGAGTGGAAGATCCTCTTTGAAGCTGGGCCCCCAATTTAGGTCATCCCAGAATTGTTAAACAACAGCTTTGCCCCGAGAACACGCAAGCTGACCATGTACTGCAATGTAAGAGCCTCTCCAGCCGGTTAAATAGGACACCGAGGGTGATTTTGGCAGAAACGTGGCACGGAGCGCTGCCACACTTGCCCACGTGCACGGGCTAATGATACCGATGGGTTCTGCCATGTCAAGTACGTTTAAAAGCGCTTGTTCTGTGTTGCCATCCTTATGATTGAATTAGGCAAGCGCTAATGGACATTCATTTTTCATGAAGCATCTGGAAGCCAGTGTTTGCACAGTGTTACCAGCAGAGCTTTTAGAGTCGCTTCATAAGAGCATAAACAGTGTGTTAATGTGATGCATTTTACACCATTTGGTGAAAACACCGTTGCGAAATGCTGGCGGCCATTTCCGAAACGGTCCGCATCAAACATTATCAAACACACCGCGAAGCAAAACACGCCTTCAGTGTTTGATTCTTAGCTCCAAACGCCTAAAATGAAAGCCAAATAGGGCCAAAAAGACGTCTTATTTCATCATCACTCCCTCATGTTTCATCTCCTCCCCGCTGAGCGTGTGTGTGTGTGTGTCAGCATTTGCAGGCATACCCGAGTGCAGTCGTGCGCATAAATGCACCTCACTGGCTGTGGTAGGATATTATAATGTCTCTTTAACAGCCAATATCATTACCTTGTGGATCCACGTTTGAGGTGCATTCGGCTTTGGTTTAACATAGATTTGTACTGTTATGTTTCCAGGGATATTCATGCATGCTGTTGTGTGTGTGTGTGTGTGTCTAAATGTGTTTGTGTTCACATGAAAAATCATCGCTAGATATGTAGACCCTCTCAACAGATGGCCTTTTCAGCACACTCGCCTCCTGGCGATGGCGCCTGCCAGCCTTTAAGCACACACACACACACACACACACACACACACAAATGTGATTACAGCCCTCATCCATACACACAAAGCAGTTTCGTAATGTGTCATTTTGAAGACTTCAAAGCTGAGAAGGAATGTTTCCATATTTTGTAAGAATCTTTTGTTTGATGGGTTTAAAAAATCTGCCCTAGAAATGAACCCGTTTTTCTCTCCATCAAAAGTAACATCAGGGTTTGAGTGTTCTGTAGCGTCTCCTAAAACAATACTGTGTGTATCTGAAGAATCTTAACTCTCTCATTTCATAACACAACTGAAATGGGATCATTTGAATGCAGCTGTACACGCAACACATCTGTGGGAGTTTGTGTTTATTTCAGAATGATGGAGAACCCTTTTCCTGGGGAAAACTGAAAGTGGTCCAGAAAAGCTTCCATTTCCATGGAGACGTGTCCAAACACCAGCAGAGCGCTGGGCTCCAAGACACGCTGGAAAAGACGGCCAAGCAAGAAAACCTGGGAACTACGACTCGATTTTGGTTAGGTTAAAAAACAAGTGTCACAAACAGTATTTGAGGACCGCTTCATTTAGCACCAAAATGATAAAACAATGCAGATCAGCCAGATAAGCTTTTTTTTTTAAAAACAAGCCACTGGCCCTTTAAACGTTGTCTGAATGGATTCCCTTTGGATTGAAAATTCCAAGCGTTTTTTAAAGAGTCTGACAAATCACTAAAAATGTCAAGCAAGCAATATTCTGAGGCCCGTGTGAGGGCAGCTTTCCTTAAGTGTCAAAGACAGCTGAAGAGAGCTCATTTTTCCTGCTGCAAACGTGGACATAGGATGTATTTGTCAAGCTGTCAGAAGACAGTCCATTACTGTTTCTGAGTCTGAGGAGGAGGAGGGGGCTAGCAGCAGTGAAGGGGGGGCAGGTTCATGATATCCTCGGAGTGAGAGGAGTTTGGAGTTTCAGAAGCGGCACCTGTTCACTGAAGGCTCCCCGGTCTACTTCAGGCCGGGTGAGGGCCGATTTTTGGCAGCCACCCCTCTAAACCGTTCAGGGTGGGAAGCTGAAACGCTCCCACTGCCTCCATCTCTGCGCAGTGCCGGGTGGAACGGGACAAGACGGGACGTGCCAGGATTTTATGGCTCCGTGCTCTTTGTTTTGAGAACGGTTTCATCTTAACCTGGAGCGGTTTCCTCCACTTTTTTAATTTTCAGGGTGAATCTTAAAGCAGATCATTTTCCCGAGCCATCGGTGAGCTTTGTTAAAAGAAAGAAACCAGGTCTAAGAGGAATACTTTTGGAAAAAGCTGGGATCTCTGCACCATGACGGCCTCTACATGTCCGGGATGCACTCTGAATCCAGAATGTGTGCAGGCTTGAGATTCCTGCCGCATCCTTGTTGTTCCCCAGAACAGATCTTAACTTGTCAGTGTGCGCCCCGGTGAGCATTACAACAAGCCTGTGCAGGTATACCACCTCGCTCTCCTGCCGGAATCGGGGTTTTATCCACCGTGCACCGCGTGTGTGTGTGTGTGTGTGTATTGGTGCTTGCAGCTGGTGTTAAAAACACTTCAGCTGCACCTTCCTAACCAGCACTGGCAGACGTTATTGGCTCTTGATTACGGTGGTAGGCTAGTGTGAGAGCATGTGCTCACTGTGATTTTCATTCTCATTAATCTGCCACCCTCTGTCCCTCCCTCTCTCCCTCCCGCCTTATGTCTCTGTTCGACCCCCGTCCCCCCCCGGAACAGGAAGCCTCGACCCGTCTCGCAGCTCGTCTCCCAGCAGCAGGTAACTCAGCAGTTTGTGCTCCCGTCGCAGCCCAAGAAAGAGAAGAAGGAAAGAGTCGAGAGGGACAAGAGCGACCGGGAGCCCGCGCTCAAGAAGAACGGCCACAAGAAGATGAGGTAAGCGGGAGTCCCGGGCACCAGCGGTGGTGCAGGTTATTTAACTAAACGACAGTGTTTTCAGTCTGCTAGGCACATGGGATGGAGCCCAGCGGCCATGGGGGGGCAACAAAAGAGCCAGGTCTCACGGGAGGAGAATAATAATATTCCCTTAAAAGAAAAACTCAGTTTAAACCGATGCAAAACAAGTGAAAATGCACAAATATCAAACTAAAGAAAGCAGCAATCCGGCCTCAAACCAGCCGCTAACCACCCTGTGACGTCAGCTTTCTCGTTTGTTAAACGTTTTTCTTTTTTTTTTTCTTTGTCTCCGTCAGGCCGAGGTTAAAAAACATCGACCGGAGCAGCGCGCAGCACCTGGAGGTGACGGTCGGCGACCTGACGGTCATCATAACGGACTTTAAGGAGAAGGCCAAGCCCGCCTCCACCTCCACCACCTCCTCCAGCTCCGCCTCCTCAGCCGACCACCACAGCCAGAACGGCTCCAGCTCAGAGAACACGGAGCGGGGCCTGTCGCGCTCCTCCTCCCCGCGGGGGGAGGGGGGCTCCATCAACGGGGAGTCCCACTGAGCCGGCCCACGTCCACCACAGCGGGTCCACAGGTGCAGCGTCCGGCCTTTTATCCCGCACAGACCCACCGCTTCCCTTTGTTTTCCCCGGAGGAATTTGTTTTAAAAGAGATTCTCTGCATCAGAAATCCTGCACTTTGAAAGCAATACGAACCCCTTTTTTGTTAGATTTCAAGTCCATGCTTTGATTTGGCCGGAGGGGGACCCACGCACTGACCCAACCCGCTGCTAGGAGACGCTTTGATCCCGATCAGGAACTTCTCTGGAACTGACCTGAGAAACGCGCTGAATAAACTTGTGGAAAAAAGTCCGGGCAGAGATAATGGATCCTTTGTCTTAGTTCCTCCTGGTCATTGTGTTCATGCAAAGAAACGTGCGGCCCCGCTTTGCTCCTGTGCGGCCGGCAGATGTGGTGACCTGTCCCCCCCCCCTTCCTCCCCATGTGGTGCTTTCTTCCTCTGACTGGAATCTTTACTGAGCGATAGAAGCCGGACCCTCCCCCGGACTGACAAAGCTTCTCCTCCTGGACAGCCTTTGCTGGAGAAGGACAGCAGAGAGCCGGTGCTCCGGGCAGCATGTGCTGTATTTCCGTAACAGTAGACGCAGCTTTGATGGTAGAAGTACGATTGTTGTCGGTGTCCTTTCCGTGCTGCACAAACGGGGCTGCGCTCGCTTCAGGCCTCAAAGGAGAAGCACAGGAGGCCGCTCGGCCCCCAACAAAGGAACGAGATTCTGATTCTGGACGGACTCTTACGAGAGACGTTTCACCACGCGATGGACTTCAGAAATGGATTTAGCGAAATGGCAGAGTTCTAGCGGTCATTCAACAACCATAGATCAACTTACCTACACAATAACTTATAAAACTTGTAGAATAATTACAGAAAGAAGATAGATATTTCTAAAATATTGTACTGCAATGTTTTGATGTGGTCGTATTATTCATCATATCAGTGTTGTTGAGGTTTTTAATTCCCATTTTAGCACACATCCTGAGGACTGTCATGGCATGATGATATTAAAAGTCTTGGTATATTGTGGGAGACACTGTCTTAGTTTGTTAGTATCGTTTCATGTGGTTTCCGTTGGGTCACTGCTTTAACTGGGACTAGGTGTGAGATGGGGGTTCAAACGTGTGGCAAAAATGCAAGGAAGCAGAATATGGTGTCAGCTAATAGTACTTTCTTTATTTTAGTTTTACCATGCTTATCTGTTCAAAATGTGTGAACTTTGTTATTACATGTCTGAATAACAAAACGACAAAAATCAAACAGGAAAAACTCGTGTTTTTCTTATGAACACTCGTTACTTTTCCAAGGTGAAGGTGTGTTTAGGCCTCTGTCTCCCTTTATTCTAAGCCGTCAATGAAAATAACTTCCATCATCACTCTGTTTTCCATTTTATTCATTTATTTTTGGATTGTCAACCTCTTTATGACGCATTCTGTGTAAACGTCATTGTAATTATAAGGTTATTAATGAGGCTTAGAGTAGTTTAGTGACCATCTTACAGGTCAGCAGGTTTGTCCTGAGCTGCAAAATGTTTGAGAATTTAGAAGGAAATCTGGAATCAGACCATCGGTAAAAAGAATACAACAAAACAAAAACAACATCAACATTTCAGGAAACAATAAAGACAAGAGAAACAATAGTTTTTCTTAGAATTAACAGAAAACAGCTAAACAAAGGTCGAACCAGAAACTAATCAAAACCACAGACAACAACATAAAAAGAAAAGATGAAACATCACAAGACAAACAGATTCAGTTCTCTGTTTCATTATTTTATAAGAAGTCCACTGGGGCCTCCTTCACTTCTTTGTTGACTCTTCATGAAAATCCCACTGACGTTTAGTTTGGTTTAAAAAATGCACCCTTACCCATAAAGACAGCTCTCTTAAAGCCACACTGAATGCATCTTTTCAGAGGAGCTTTTTTCTCCCACCCTTCCCCCCATGGAGTGTGGGCCTCCTGCTGCATCAGGCTGAAGGGCAGAACCGGAAGTGTGTGGTGCGACCTTCAAACTAAAAGTCTTATCACTTAGAAAACAGGCTGCACAGATCACTCACGTGTCATAAAAAGAAAGGCTTATAACTCCATTATCTATCTATCTATCTATCTATCTATCTATCTATCTATCTATCTAT